GCTGAACCATTGCAATTGAAAAATCTGCAGTTTTTAAAGAAGTATTAAAAAAATCAGTCTGAAAAAAACAATATTTTGATACTTTTATAAACAATGTGAAGTCCTATAACTGGAAATGTTGAATAATATTAAGTCTTTATGTATGGCACCTATTATCCAAGCACAGAAATACATGTACACACACGTGTGTGTACATGTATATATATTTCTGAACTATATGCATATGTACATACATAAATACACACATACGTGTAGTTCAGAAATACATTAATATCAGTTACACTGGCATATTATTTGCTCCAAGTAAACTAAGTAGTTTGATAAGGATTTAAAGTCTCCTGGTGATAAACTTACAAAGGTGTGTCTCAAGCGAATTTTGCGCAAAGAATTTTTCGCTCGGTCCCAGCTGAGCATATGGGGTGACCCCCTGCACCCTGCTTGATGATAAGTGGGGGTTTCCAGATTAAAAGAATAAAATTATAACAATAATCATTAATAATAAATAATAACAATTATAACAAAAATTATAACAATACTTATTTGTGTTCCCGATACATTTGAAGCCAGAAGTAAGAAAAAGTACCACCAGGGCAGCTCAGTGGAGGGTAGGGAAAATCTCTGGAAACAGATAACATTCTCAGTTGTTGAGCTCAATTCTGTACCTAAGCACTGTTAATCCCTTCAAAAAGACAACTGCAAATACATACATACTGATATGTACATGGGTACATAGAAGCTGAGGAAGGGATGACGTGTAGAAAGCCCCCAGGAACAGCCAGAATAAAAAATGAACAGGAAAAACAAGCTTTGCTGGACACAGTTCTGAGTGTACTATTCTAACAGGGTGAATTGCACCTTTATAAGCAAGACCTTTGCTCACCCAGATCTGCAGCCCCCTTCTTCCTGTACAACTTGTTATGGATGGACAGGAGGGAGGGAGACCCCAGAAACTGGAGTCTCAGCAGGCAGACTTGCCTGCTCCATGAAGTGGATTAGGAACCTCCAGCAGGCTGCAGACAGCCAAGGGCTAGAAGAACCTTCTGAGCTGGGTCATTTTGCCAACAAGCGCCAGGGTCTGACATCATTTCACTTGCAGCACCAGGGGCTGAAAGGTGTTACGTGAGAACAGGTACAAGCTCAGTAGGGAGACAACACAGGAGCTAGATGAGCGGCTGCCGAGGAAGAGGCTGACAGGGGTGTCCTGCAGAGTAGCACACCTCACAGCAGTGAGGCAGGTACAAAGCCACAATTTCCAAAAAAGGCACAAGCTAAAACTCTTGTTCCCTGCCGTGGGCATCTCAGCCTTCCATTACTGTATCAGATTTCTTTCTGGTCTCAGCAACTGCAGTGCTACCTTCCTCATTGCCATCATTAAACTACTTTTTATTCTCATTACACCACCTTCTTATGCCTGACTTTTAGCTTTTCCCCCTCTGTTTCACCCCATGTCATCTCCTTGTCTTGCCTTCCGAAGTTTTTCTTTACCTATCATTTCTCATGCAGTATTAAAAGCTCAACTTTACTTCCTGATCAGGCACATTTCTAGCCTCTGCTACCATTAGCCCCTACTAACAAAGGAATAGCTTCTGCTTTCTCCTCTGCTGCCTCCCTTTTTGGAAGAAGTTTCTGAAGCACCTTCAGTGCTATTACATTTTCACCTAAAATCACTCCTTAAAATCCTCCTTTTCAGGGATGCCAACACCAATTAGGCTGCCAGTGTGCTAAAACTCTTACCAACCAGCCCACAAAAAAGCAAGCGAAAGGAAGAGCCAATTTGGGGATTGAAAAGAACCAAACTGAGGAGAAAAACCGAGTACATGGGAAAAGGCAGCACAGAGTCTGATAGAAAAACTCCCAGAGAGGCAAGGAGCACCAACCTAAGGAAAAGTGGAGCCAGGGCCATGGGAAATAGAAAGGCTCTGTGGCCTGCTCAAATGATGCTGTGGGAAAGGGAGGATGAGAATGGGAGTGGAAAAGACACAAAGTATAATTCAATGAAGTAAAGATGACAAAGAACAAATTCAATTAAATGAGTATAGAAAGGAATACGCAAAACTACCCAATAAATTACCACAGATGTTTAAAGAGGAATGAGATTAAATGCACTGCAGTAACTCACACGCTGGAACCCAACCCTTACTATGTGATATTTGTCTCTGTTTTTCTTCCTGTAGTTTTAGCCAGAAAGACCATGGACTTTTGATTTGGCCACTTCCCATTGATATTGTCAGGGAGCAGTGAGGGACAGCTCTTCCCTTCAGGATAGGGAGCTGAGAACCAAGTACAATAACCACCTGGCCAGTGTGGCACAGTTCTCACCAGCCTGGATCCATCACCACCCCTGAAGGGTGAAGATCTGGAGATGGGGACCAGGTTCAGCCAAGAGACCAGATCATCAGGCAGATGCATGGTGACATCAGTTCATGGGTGGGCCCATCTTGGCTGGGCTCAGGGGACCTGGAGACCAGCCCTGCTGCAGCATCACTGGGGCAGGGACTGATGGTCCTGTGGGGCTGACATGGGGTCCTGGGCTGTGGGCAGGGTTGGGGGAAGTCCCAGGGGGCTGGGCAGGGACAGTCAATGCCCTGTTAGTGCTGTCAGGGCCTGAAAGATAATATGAGAAGAAAGTCCACCTCGCCTGCTTCATTACCCAACAATGGGCTGTGGAGTCTTCTTGGCTAAATATTTAATTCAAAATCCACCAAAATATCAACTGCCATTTAAACCACTGCAAAACCAGTCATAGGGGAGCAACCTTCACCACTTTCTTTTAAGGAATCTAGATGACCCTAAGAAAATTGGAAACGAAGAAGAAAGGGAGAAAACGGAGTATGGAAGAAAAGCTTAGACCATGATGCACACCTACCACAATGGCAATGAATGACCTCTTTCCAGGCTTGTTTCATGGGAGATCGGACCTCATAAAATCCATCTGCTTTTCTCATTATATTGATAACTGGATCTCTGGCTTTTCATGTGTTTTACAGTTCCCTCCCATATTTCTGTTCTCAGTTACTGTCAGTAATAGCAATGTTGTCCTTGCCATTCAGGTCTACCCACTTTGTCTCAACCCTAGATCCTCTCTGTCCCCTCCTGCTTTTCACCTCCCTATGTAAACTTGATTCATTCATTCCTGCCATTGCACACCAAATAGCATAGCCAGAACTGTCTGTAACAGTCCTGGTTTATTAGCACACAGCCACCAGGCAACCCCCTGGCTGCTGTTCACCTTGTTACATCCTTCTTGTATTCCCTCCACTAGTACCTGCCTACCATAACTGATGACAGCCATGATCTCTCTTTCTCTTTTCACAGTCTAGTGCATACAAAATGTCTCTGCTTACATTATTTTCCATTTTCCGCCCATCTCCTCCAGCTTCTTCTATCATTCTAGTCCAGCTTTTGACCCTCATTTTCAGGATCCGTTTTGTCCAAAACCATACTTCTACTCTCATTCCCCCCAACTCTTTCTTTTTTGTATTCCTCCAAAGACTCCTGTACAGGAATCATGTACAAGTCATTACACCAGTAAGGAAACCTGCTTTTTTACAGGAATAACCTCTTTGCCTGAAACATCCTGACACTTAACTAACAAGCTGTGTGTATGCATTCTTCTCTCTTCCTACATGAATCTAGGCCTACTTTTCCTTTCCTTCCTAGTCTCCCCTGTATTGCAGGACAAGCTGTTCAGCAGAAACATTATGTTTAAAGTCTGTTTTTATGAAATGTGTTTTTACATCATACTATGATACATGTAGTATCAAATATTAAGAATTTAGGAAATAGTAGGATTAAAGTGGTGCATGAGCTAAATCATAGAGAACATAAGATGAAGTATCTGCTGGCTTTTGGTATCACAGTCTTGAAACTAAAGAGCTGACATTTCAGAGTATTTAACGTTACAGTACACTCTAAGTTCAAAATAGTCTTTCTGATTCAGTTAGAGATATGATTGCTCTAAACATCTGCAAATCTGGTTTCCAGAGCCTGCTCAAGTAGCCATAAAATGGATAATGGACAGTCAATGAGAGTCTCTGAAAAGGTGGGTGCCCCACACCATGTGGGATTATTGTGGCAGACAAAGAACCCAAACTCTCATCCTAAAATCTCTTGCCTGATTCACTGAACACCTTCCCTCACCTGATGTAGATACTGGGGATCCTACTGCACAGCCCTAGAGCATCTCAACAGCATGCCCACACTGTGAACTGAGTGTGTCAACTTGAGTGGAATATCTTGTTTGTTTAAAAACCAGGTGTTGAAAAACTACCGAAAAACATATTCATGTGGCATCATAACAACATGCACAAAAAGCATTATCAGTGGTGAATCATTTAGCTGCCTTCACTGATCTTATGATACTCACTCTAATGGAATAACTGATAGTGGCAGCGGGTTGCTATCTTCTGAACAAACCCAACATTAACAAGGACAAGACCCGAGCTTGTCAGACTTACCTGCTGACAGCAACAAAATGGTGAGACTCAGGCATGCAAGATGCCATTCCTGGCACTGGAGGAGAATGGTCCCCAGTACAGCTTGTCCCTGCTTCCCATGCTCCCACCATCAGCACGGCCTGCCCAGAGTCTTCCACTCCTGCTATCCCCAATTCCACCTCCTTGCACCCCACTCCCCAGCAGCTCTCCAACGCTGAGTTCCCCTCCTGCTGGACATATATTTGCATGGGCACCAGTGCTTTTCTTTTGGCCCCCACCCCAGCTGTGACCCCTTCTTACCCAGTCCAAACAGGCAGAAAATTTTAACTCAGTCTCCAGCAAATCCTCACCTCCAAAAGCCATCCTTGTATCGTTCCCAGTCAGCTTGCCCAGCAAATCCTGTTTTCCAGCTTCCTAAACGCCCATCAGATCTCACCTCGATTCTGCTGTTCAGTCTTCCCCATGCACAAGCCAGCTCTTTGCTGGCTCCCACTACCAGTCTCCGCCTTTAGTCTCCTCAGTCAGCCTCACAGCCCTCCACACCAACCACACTTCCGAGCCCAGCTCGTCAGATCTGTCTTTCCTTCTTGCAAGCCTCCCACACAGCCCCACAGCTTCTCGCTCTCAGCTCTGTACTCAGCTAGTCCCAGGCTCTGCACTTCAGCTCCTCTAGCTATTTTCGTATCTCCCAAACTATACTGACACATTTTCCTCTCCTTTCCCTCCCACAGCAATTTTCACACTTCTCATCAAGGCACAGTTTCTTCCTGCTGATTTCAGTCTTTGAATCTATTTTGCCAGAGATCCCCAACACTTTCTCACAAAAAATCTTGTTCATGCTTTCCCTGTTACTAAACCGGATGCCTTACTCCCCTGTGCCACCTCAGTCCAGCAGAGATTTCCCTGAGAATATATGAGAGGAAACCCCTTAACCTCATTTTCATACACTTTTTCCAAAGCCTGCAAAGTACCTGAACTTCTTAGAGGAAAGGTCACCAGAACCATTTAAGATGAGAAAAAAGAGCACCGTTTCCAAAACACCCTGTATAAAAAGCTATAAACTACTTTTGCTCAAAGGTTTTTAAAAGTTATCCTGAGACATAGATATCTAGCATGGAAAATTCCTGCTTAAACACTTGAAATGTGACAAAATCCTATGCAGCTGCAAACTATGTTGAAATGAGAAGAGTCAAGATGCATATTATCCTTGGCAAAGCCAGAAAGTGAATGAAAGCCTCTGTCTCTTAATTTCAGACACCAGAATCCTTGTAGTATCAACTTTTAGCTGTATGTTAAACTCCCCTGTTCTTAACTGGAGAGAGTTATAGCAATGAAAAATAGAGTGCCAAAAAAATCCTCTGTAGATTCAATTCACGGATTCACCGTGGTGTGATTTTAAAAGCTAAATAATGTCTCAGTTTATTTCTTGAGAGACTTGATGGCGATTCTAAATATCTAAATGAAGGAAAAACAGCAACAAAGAACTCAGTGACAAAGAAACCTCTCTTTGTGGAGAATTGACTACACTATGAAAATCATGGTAACATGAAAAGCTACTAACAATCCAATTTTACTCACCAACCAGACAACTTCAGTGGAGATCTCCTATTCCTCTGAGTGATGGTAAATAGAAAATAAATATTCAGACAAAGAAAGATCAGTCCAAAGAGATACATTATTTAATTTTATGCCTAGGTCTGCAAAGGAAACAAGGGAGAGGATTTTGTTTTCTCCTTACCTGGTCTTCAAGGCTGGGCAAAGTGTTTCTGCATCCACACAGATGGTTTCCCAGGAGAGTATTTGAAACACCCTGTATACATAGTATTTGTCTTTGTTTTGATTAAATGCCCAGCTAAAAGATGGAAGTGTTACCCTTAAACATGCGAATGTTTAGGTGAGCATCTCTAGTTGCACATTACAAAGCAACGTGCCGTGTCTGTCTCTGGGTATAATGAGCAGCATTTAACCACTCCCTGCGTACGGTCTACAGCAGCTGTCAGAGCCTGCCAAGTGCTTCAACAGCAGCCTGCCAAGAGGCTGTCTGCTAAGCAAACAAGAAGGAGGATGGTTGGGAATATGAGGGTAAAGGTAATTTGGTTGAGAGCAACCGTGATGTGATAACATATTATTTTTAGATGAGGTACAAGAGGAAAGATCCATTCAAACGCAATGGACTCTATACAAGAAGACTCCAATAAGCCCTGGGAACTGGAAGGTGAGTTCTCATGGGAAACATGGCTAAAGCAAAAGGAATTCAGTAGAGTTGGCAGTTCCTTAAAGAAATGATGTTTAGGGTACAAACACAAACAATCCCACACAGTAGGAGGATAGGAAGTATGGTCAGAGATCAGCTTGGCTAAGCAACACTGTCTTCAATGACCTGAAACACAAGAAGAAAATGTACAGAAAGTGGAAGCCAGGTCAAACTCCTAAGGACAAGTATGAAAGAATAGCTCAAGATGCTGAAACAAAGTCAGAAAGGATAAAGCACAAATTTAACTGCAAAAAGCAATGGACATAAGGGATAACAAGAAATCAAATCTGTAAGGGAAGAAAAACCTAGTGATAGCTCGGTTGCAGAAGGCTGAAGTACATTTTCCATCACTCTCCATAAAAGGGTGAGCTGTAATTGCATAACTAATAACTAAACTCAGTAAGAAAGAATCCATCTAAAATAGGAAAAGAAGAGGTCTGATAATAATTTAGAAACATTGCAGTTCACCTCATCCTCAAGTGTTCCCGTACAGCATGTCTCCAGAAGAACTCTCTACTGGCCATTGGCTGTACTAAGTCTCCCCTGACTGTGATAGGAACCTATACCCCTGCACAGATATAGATGGCTATTTTATAGGTAGCTAAATTTAGGTGACATGAGTCCTATCCATAGTGACAGCTGGGCCTGAGGAAGTCCATATGAAGATACCTTGAGAACAGAGTGAAGCAAGCTCAGACCCGTTAGCTTCCTCTGAAAACTCTCAGAAATTTTGAGAGAAATGTGTGAAGAGGTGAACACAGTGCTCATCTTTAAAAAGCCAAAAAACGAGGAAGAGAGAAATTCTGGGAAAATACTAGCATAAATGAAAAAAGAAATTACTCCTAAAAGGTTAGAGATAGTTAAAAAAGCTAATATCCAACATGCCAAAAATATAAAGCAATATAATTTCTGTAACAGGGCAACAAGTATCATAAATAGAGAAACAGCAGGTCATGTAACATTTTTTAATTTTAATAATGCTATTGACATTAACTCATAACATTTTCAAAAGTAAATTAAAATGAAACTGCTTCAGGGAGAGTGCAAAACTACCTGGGGGGTGGGGGGGAAAAGCAACACAGATTTTAAGATTAGTTTTTAACCATTCATTATCAAACTCAAAAAATATAATCAAGTGAGATTCTATCTGAGTCTGTTCTGGGCCTGGTAATGGCCCAAGTCACTAATGGAATTGTATAAAGGAAAAATCCTTCAACCTTGTCGATAACAATAAGCTCAAATGAAGAGCAAACACACTGCATGATACATTCAATTCGGAATGCTCTTGACAGACAAGAGAAATGATCTGTAGGAAAAAACACACTGCAATGCACTTGTGTTTACAAGTGTGAGGTTCTGAGAGGGGATAATAGTTTGTAAAGATGTAAGATTGGCAATGACCAGTTAGGCAGCCATTCTACCAAAAAGGGATAAGAGGGCCAGTAGTCAACCACAAGCTATACATGAATAAGTGGTGTTACACCATACGTGTGCAAGAAAGCAAAGTGCATATTAGGAAGATAAACTGTTTTGCTTGTACCATACAAGAAGGAATACCTCCTATTACATTACTGGCTAGCACAGCAACCAGTGGCACTGTGTCCTGTTCAAGCAAAACGATTCAGAAAGCAGACCAACTGGAGAGAGTCCAGAGAAGAGCAGAGAAAATGGTCAGTTGTCTGGGAAAAAAACAAGAAGGAAAGATTGAAAGAATTGGGGTTGCTCAGTCTAAAGAAGAGAAGGCCAACTGAACATGTGGAAATTATCATCTACATAAGTTACCTGTAAAGAGGTAAGGAGGGATTAATTTTTTTTCATCTGTAGCGGATATGAAGTGATGGGTTTAAACTATGACACTGAAGTTTATGTCAGATATTAAGAAAATCTTATTAACAATAAAGATAATGATATATTTTATTTCTGAGGTACAGTTGATTCTCTCTTGGAGCTTCAGAATGCACAAGATGAGGTCTTGTGGTCTTTTCCAGTCTCCTTTTCCGTAAGTATATGGTTCATCCTGCTGTATAATTTAGAAGTCCCATCTTACCTCTCTAGAGAAGCTACATTTATCAAAGTTTTCATGCTAAATTATACAAAGCCAGATTGTTGTTTCAGTATAGTGACTCGGAACCAATGAAGACACTACAGGGCTTACCACTGCCCAGGTTGGCATGATGCCACTTTTTTTCTACTCTATGTCCTTTTAGCTCTCATAAGAAATGTGAAGAGTTGTGGAAAAGACTGCTATCTTCCAGAGACTAGTGTATCTGATATTTGATGGTTGTGCACTGCTTTTCAAAATATCAGAAATGGGCATGTCTCTTTCCTGGGGATTCCTAATGGATTCTGCTAGAGAAGTACTCTTATCTGCTGAAGGCTGCCCTTCTAGTGAGCTAATCCACAAACTGCTAAGACATGGAGCTGATTTGCCTTGGGGGCACTTATTATGATGAGAGATGGAAGAGAACTAAATTAACTGAAGTGATATGTGGACAGAAAATATGGAAACATACTTTGTTAGAGGGCTGCAGAATCATGTTGCTCCATCTTAGAATTTTTTCATGTGCTTGCTCTTTGTATTAATCAAACTTCAAGATCATATGAATTTAATAAAGCAGAAAAGTTTAAATTCCTTTTGTCTACCTTCCACCACAGATCCAATTTTGTCAATATATAGATATTCTCGGTAAAAGAACTGTATCATATGGATGACCAGCTGAAAGAAAATCTCACAGAGGGGTGTTTATTGTACTAATGCATTACCTGAGTTCCTAGGACACATGACCATTGCCAGCAAATACCAGTGTTAGTCATTACCTGTATTGCCTCTGCAATTCACTTATGTAGACATGTTCAGGTAATTTTGTACAAAAAAAAGTCCTTAAAGCAGTTTCAACCTTGCAGAAAAGTTACATTTTTCACATTTTATAAACTATTTGAACCAGGAAAAATCTATTTGATACCACTTCCTAGGTTGCATTTGTCTAAAGTGCACAAGATAATCTGTTTCTGTGACACATACTTTTTAAACTCAGAGTAATACGCAACCTAGCATGAGATTCATGCTTACCTAATATAGAATACTACAGGAGTCATACAACAGAAATATGGTTTTCACAAATTCACTATCCTACAATTTTTCTTTGGGTAAACTTTTGGGACTTTG